GTTTCTTAAAATTTCTTCAATAATAGGTAACCGATATACCGGATATTTAGTCCATGGAGTTTAATCTTACGATAGTCAATTGCGAAACGCCACCGTTTTGGATGTGTTTCTGGATAATCGTTATTTTTCTTTACATAACACAACCGGGCTAGCATAACTACTTGAGAGATGGGCGTTATGGTCTTTTTACGTAACATATCTCGTAATGTGCGACTCTATAATTTTTTCTTTATTCTTTATCGTATCGATACGGCTTGTGGCGAACTGGCAGTGAATCTCCTGTGTCGATACATTATGGTTCGTCGCTTGAGTAAATCCGGGAATATCACTATAATAACGAAGCAAATTCACTTACAACTTGGTGAATTTTTTGTTGCTCTCCCGTAGGCAGGTGGTTAAGATTTTACGTGGGTGGTTCTCTTTTTTTCTTCTAGCACTGGTTTCATCGGTCCGCGTAAGGGACGCTTTGGTTAAAATCCAAGCATTGCTTCTGGCATCTGAAAGAAAATCTATCCCTTAAGAATGACATGTGTGCTTGCAAGATTCTCTTACGATAAAATCATAATCTTTACTTGCTCGTCCTTGATACGAATGTATAACGGTAATTTACCTATGCACTTGCATCTTTCTCCATGCGCAGCTAACCCGTCGTATTATCCGAATTATATATGCGGTATTTACGGAAATACTTCCTAAAGAAATCTTCTGCCACACAGAAACACTGCGCGCCTGTATCCAGGAGTGCGGTGGCTGGGATATTGTTTACCAAAATGTCAATCTTTGGAAGAATCAAATTTTTCACAATAACTGTATTTAACTTGAAGGAAGAGGGGTTTTCTTGGCCTTCGGATTTCCGCACCCTCCCGTCAGCAGAAATCCGTTTTAATTTAAATCTTCTTTCTTCCTCTACATGCCTGCCTTCTTTTTCCGCTGGCCTTCACACCTTTTTCTGGCTTACTATTGAACTGTCGACGTTCGCCGGTTGTTTTTGGATACTCAGGTTTCCTTGCCCACTGATTCGACTTGCTTCCATAGCCGTGTTCTTGCCTTTGCTGTGGTGTTGGCACACGAAATTGGCTTCGTTGCTCATACTGGCGTCTTCTTTCAATGTCCGCCGTTCTTCTACTTTCAAAGTGGATTGCTAGCTCAAATAACTTTTCCAGTGTAGTCGGATTCCTTAATTCAATAAAGTCTTGTACTTGCGGAAGTAACCTAAGCAAAATTACTTGGATTATCTCAGGATCCGGACGGTTTCCATACAAGAGTTTAAAGACGGGAAGTTTTCTTAAAATAAAGCTGGAAAGATTTTCGATTCGTTGCTGGTATATGCTGAAGAGTTCCGCTTCAAATTTTTCACGATTTCTTACGACAATGAAGGCTTTTACTAAGGCAGTCTTGAAATTTTCGGAAGTATAGGTGGGACTTCCCGCTTGACCCAAAAGGTTTCTGCCTATACATTTGAACCAATTAAGCGCTTGGCCCCTCAAAGCGCTGGTAGCTAAGGTGCCTTTCTGGAACTCATGGCCTGGATACAGCATGAAGTGATCATCCAATCTTTCGAAAAAACTGGTTACCGGTGAGTTTCCACCGAAACGTTGCTTCTGGTTTCATCGATGCGCGCATGGTCTGGGCGATGTAACCAAATACTTCGAGGGCGGCAGCTGGCATTTTTGGATTCTGAGCCGCTTCTGCTACAGGCACCTCAGGTTCTTCTTGAAACTCGTCCATGGCTTATTCTTATTCGTTCGGGCGCCACTATCAGGACTTGTATTTCTCTTGATTTGCGTTGGAAACATGTGAATGGTCCTGAATAGGAACAGGGCGCTTACTCAAGCTATGTTCAAGGAAGGTTGTGAAATAGACATACAAGCAGGAAGGGTATACGAAACCCTTTATTTTTCTATTTTTACAGGTATTTCCGGAACTTCGGAATACAGAGACCAACCACTTGTGGTCTGAACGTAAGAAAAAAAACTACTAACTAAAACTCTAATTAAAACTAACTTTGTATTAGTAAACAAGTGATTGGCCGTTATTTAACAAAGTCCATTAAGATTGGCCGTTATTTAACAAAGTCCGTATGTAGTACGCCGAGCTGCTAAAACTACGATACGTTTTGCAATTATCAAGAGGACTAAACCTCTGGCCTTGAAGGCAAACAGCAACCGAGTGAAAACTCGTAAAACGACAATGGCAAGCGGCCTGCTTCCAATAACTCCTTCCTCTCTCTTGCTTGGCAAAAAGCCACAACTTAAGTACTTGGCGTTAGCAAGACAATTTGCATAAATAAGTTAAAGCTTTTAATTCTGGCCGGAAGTAGAAAATAAGAAGTGATAGTAAAGATTTAAAATAAAATAAACGTTAGTAAAACTTAGGATCCTTACAAATTTATTAAAATTTAATAAATATTTTAATAAGTGAAAATATTGTTTGAATGGGACAGTTTAAGAATTTTATTTTATATTTGCAAAACTTTCCAACCACCACTGCCTTATTAGCATATACCTATTAGCATACAACCTTATTAGCATACACTGCCGAAAGTATGCTAATAAAATACTCCGATTTTTTGAAAATTCTGTAATTAGAAGTATATATTTATAATCGACATATAAGAAGTAATCGACATATAGAAGTCTGTAATTATCTATTTTGAGCAATGTACATAGTTCCTATCGCCTGTTCTTATGAAGGGCCTACGAGAGGTCGAGGAGTAAAATGGATGAATACTGGTAGTTCTTACCAGGGTTAAATTCCAGGTAAACGGGCTGGCTACATGGGCGTTTTTGTGGTTTTCCCTATGTGTAATGTGCATACGAGCCAGGTTCTCTTAGAAAATCCCCTACGAAGGCATCCCTCCCACTTACGAAGTACCCATCCTGTGCTTTGCTATAATCAATTAAACCAAACTAAACTGTTCATTTGGAGGATAATTATGCTTCTTTGTTTTTACTATAAAGTAAGAATTCAACATTTGATTAATGCTTGAAAGAATTTGAACTCTCGTGGTTCGGTTCCACACTAGAGCAGAGTAGACTTTTTTTCTATTTCTTACTTCGAAAAACTTCAGTGGTCACTGTGATGTGAACATCAATTAACTGAACTTCAAGAAATACTTATGCACAAATTTCTTAGCTTTTAACACAACAGCAGTCTTGACCGGGGAAATTTAAGATTCTTAAAAAATTAAAGAATGAATTTAGCAAAACAGTAGAAAATGAAATGAAGATCTAGATATAAGTTTATGAAATAGAAACTAAATATTTGTTGTTTATCTTAATGTAAGTTTAAATTTGCAGACTGAAAAATTATCAAAGTCATTTGAGTTTCATACTGCTCTTGTTGTAGAGAACTGTAAAGGTAAAGCTTGCTATAATAATGAAAAATAAGAATATATATATATTCTTTACACTTATCACACAAATAAAAGCACAAATCCACGAAATTAAGCTTAGGGTTAGAAAACGTTTATGCAATTTCTCTTATTTGTACAATAGTTTCATTTAATTATTTCTTGCGACAAAGCTCTCGAGAGTTTTATAACTTCTATGGAATGAATTTGTTGAGGAATGTTTTAAGTGTGTGTGTATGTGTGTATTTAATTATGGCAAAGCTCGCTAGGGCTATCTGCCTAAAGGGAGGGATGCCTTCGTGGAGGACTTTCTAAGGGAAACTGGCTCGTATACACGTTACACATGGGGAAAACCACGAAAACACCGATGCAGCCAGCCCGTTCGCGGGATTCGAACCTCGGACCGAACTACCAGTGTTCAGTGACTTTTTACCGCTCGGCCGCTGGTGGGCCCGGAATGTTTTAAGAGAAAGGATTTTATATTCATCCCCAAATGAAACAAAATACATATAACCCTAGACGACTAGCCTGTTCTGCAGCCGAGAATCAAATCCAAAAAATATTACCGAAAAGAAATTGTAAAATATTCAGTGATTTTATGCAATCGGCGACAGATGATTCTTGTTTACGTGACATTCTCTATCAAAGATATTTCAGACGGAACAACAAATTCTTAAATGCTTAGTTCATGTAAAATCAGATTTTCTTTCATTATTCAACGACTGAAAAAATAGATTTATATACTTAATTAATAGTTTTGAAATTAATTTGCATTCTTATTCCTTTCCTCACAGCATAAACACATTTATAAAGCGATTCAACGCTATGATCACACAGATAATAACTAAACGGATTTTAAAACGAAAAATAGCCTTGATGTATAATTGACAGAAAGAAATATAAGTCAACGGAAATCGATCATCTGAAGCTCATTTTTTGCATCGACAAGTGAATCGATTTCAGTTTTAACCTTCTAAGATGTAAAATTGATTGCGTCTAATTTGTTCTATACCGGAAAGAACTGCTATTCGTACACTATCGTAGCTTACTTCTAATTTAAAACTTATTTCCTTTTATTGACATTTAAATGGCGACTCTGGAGACTATGTTTACTATGCTCCTATCAATATTTACATGAAGTGAATACGAATTATATCAGTGGCAATTTTTATCAGAAAAGCTAATACATTGGATGTGAGAATACAGCAAAACTGACAGTGTGTGGTATTTGTAGTTGTACTAAAACACGTAACGGTAATTTAAGCATAAATGGACAAAAATCAATATTCATTATTTAATGTAGGGGATATGAAGACAAGCATTAGGTTATGAAATATGAAAATAGTGTACTCTAAGCAATAACTTACGTAGAGAAGTTGCTAGTTATATTTTTGCTATGAAATTATTATCAACGTTTCTCTTCGCTTTGTAATTTTTATGCTTTTTTGTCATTAGGTAAAATAATCTCTAAAGCCATTCCGCAGCGCTGAGAGATATCTATGAAAAATTAATTGGGGGAAAAACAGGATACGCCTTCCATTACCTGATGAGTTGTCTTTAGGAATGAGAAGTCTTTAACACTCCATTTAAAGCGTACTTCCGTTTGCAGCGTACAACAAAAGTTATTAAGCTGTGCAGGTTTATAAAGTGTAAAGTAGAAACGTATAAGATAAGGCATACAATTCATCAGAAATCTTCTGCAAGTCTATTAAGAAATGGTAATGAAAAAGCTCATTAGCATTTAAATCGTCTTTTTTATCATAAGGTCTTGGAATTCATATTTCATATATGAACTGTTGATAAAAAAGATAATCTCTAAAATATATTCAATCCGAAAATTTACTTGAGCCAATTTATCATCTCTAACAGTTCTTAAATTATGCATACCTCACAAATACCAAAAGCTGATAGTTGGAGTACAGTTAGTAGTGTGAGTTCACAGAGTGACGAAACTAGTTTTGCTAGCAGAATACATGTAAAATTTAGGTTAGGTTCTGAAGAAGATAGTCCTTCAGATATCAGCTATTCTGAAAGAATAAAATGCGAAGTGGATCAGCTGTCTCATTCCGTATCTCCTAAAAAACATAGATTCAAGGAAAAAGTAAAAGAAATAATAAGACATAAAAAATCGTCTGCTAAAGATGAAGAAGACGAAATTATCAATGCAAAAAACATCAGAGAAGTGACAGAAAAACTATTGCGAAAGTCATCAGTCTACGCTGTGTCTCAAGTTGGCCATTCAAAATCCCCCATTCGAAAAATTTTGTGGGTGTTAGTGCTTATTGCTGGACTCTTGGGCTGTAGTTATCAGATTTATCGTTTCCTATCATTATACTTCCAGTATCCAGTTGTGGTTAATCTAGAAATAGAAAATAAATGGAGTTTGAGTTTTCCTGCGGTTACGTTATGTAATTTGAATCGTATGAAAAAGAAACACCAACGATGTATGGAAAACAACAAGTCTTTAGAAAACTGTCAAGGTGGATATGGAACAGCGACTGCTTCTGGAAGTTCCATCTCAATATCCGAAGGGCGAGCGATCTCATCCTGCTCACAATTATTTACTGGTACTTATGACAGTACAAGAACTGAGTTGATGGGGTTTCTGGCAAAGTATTCGGGTATGAGCGAGGAAAAACGGAAAGCATTTGGAAGTCAACCAGAAGACTTTATACAGTCTTGTTCATTCAATGGTGAACTTTGCTCTGCAGCTGATTTCAAGTCTTTCTCAAATTTAAAATACGGGAACTGCTTTATGTTTAACAGGGTTAATGAAAGTCAAGAAAAAGTGTTGAAAACTTCTGCTATAGGATCCAGGTCGGGCTTAGAAGTCATACTCGACCTAGATCTCCACGAGTATTTACCAGTTACATCGAGTGTTGGCTCCAGAGTCATAATTCATGATCCAAAAGAAGATCCCACTCCAGAAGAAGACGGCATAAATATAAGTCCTGGCTTCGAAACTGCTTTATCATTAAAACAAAGTGCTATTAAAAGACTTCCATATCCCTACAGAGACAATTGTGCTGACTATATGTCGCCGAATAATCCCTATGGTAGCAGTGTAAGCAACTGTGTACGATCGTGTATTCAGAAACAAAATTTTGCTGAGTGTGCTTGTGTGGATCCTACGCTTGCATATGCTAATGAATATAAACATTGTAACATGACCGATAAAACTGACTCTTGTTGTCTTGATAATGTTCTAGATTCGTTAGTAAGTGAAGGATTACCTTGCGAATGCCCACTTCCTTGTTTTTCTTTGAATTACGACATCCGTTCTTCAACAGCTGTTTGGCCTTCTGAAGCAGCGTATTTCAAATACAAAACTGGAATAAAACAGGAAGACTTAATACATTTGAATTCTTATCGGAAAGGTCTAGCTAAACTTAAGGTATTTTATTCAACACTTCAGAGATCTACCTACGAGCAAAAGCCTATGTTTGAAGATTCAGAACTTTTTAGCCACCTTGGTGGCGAGTTGGGATTATGGCTAGGACTGTCTTTAGTAGCAGTGTTTGAATTAGTAGAAAACTTGTTATATTTATGCAAGTATTTTATTGCTAAATCAACAGCATCCCGTAACCCTCATCAATAAATCTTTTCGAGGGCACAGATGAAAACATTTCTACATAAATTTGAAATATTATATTTTCTAAATGTACTCTACTTCCTTTCACATTTGGCATTTGAAATCTGTGAATCATAAAATCTGTTTTTTCATTCTTATGCTTTATGAACGTTTTGCTTTAACTACAACGTAAAGGAATTGTATATAAGGAGCGGAAGTGTTATGCCCATTAGGGGTTCGAAGTGGCCTTAGGCAGAATTCTTCAAATATATTTCCTAATTTTTTTATGTAAGAAATATCTTTATCGAAGTCCTTTCAAAACTTTTGCGCCATGCTACCACATCATTCATTATCTTTTGAAAGTGTTGCAAATGCATGAAATATATAGTGTTTGATTTTTCCTGAACACAGGATCACGGAGGCTGTCTTAAAGCGTACCTGTTCACTAAACATAAGATTTCAAAATTATATTTAAAATTTAACTAATTTATGATTAATTAACAGGTGAGTGATTTTAAAATAACAAATGTATGTCTTAATATGTTATATCTTTTTTATGGTGTAATTAGATTCAGATTTAAATATATTTAATGTGTAATATGTTCAACTGTTAGGTTTTATGATCTTTTCAGGATTACTTTAATTCGTGAAAGATGCTTCTAATGCCATATATTACGTACATGTGCAAAATTGTTTGGATTAAAATTTTTTTAGTAATCCTTTTAGTAGAGTTCAGTATAAAATTTGTACATTGAATTTTAAGAAGTGTAAGAATGAATTTCAGAAATATTGTCAATTTGGTAATAATCGCAAAAAAAATCTACAAGACAAATTAGAAACTTTAAATTCATTATAAGCTTGCTGAATTTATTATGAAATTGCAGAATAATTTTCATTATTTTTAAGATAATGACCTATATTTAAGGAACCTTTTTGATAAACTGTATTGCTAGCGTTGTTTTTATCTTACCAATATGTTGCTGCTTAAAATGTGAAGCAGGTATTATAATAATAGAAAATGTATAATGAAAGTAAAACCAACGAAATTGTTTTTTCCAATTTGCATTTCATTGTATAATATTCAGATAGATTATCATTGAAAAATACACACGGAAGATATATTTTGAAAAAGAATGTATATATTAACATGTATATTATTTAGTTCATAGATCTGAGTGATTCTACTTACATTATGGTGATTCATTCTTTCGTGTTATTTAAGACACATGTCCTAGCCATTCTGAAGACAAAATTAAAATTCAGATTTAGAATGATAAAATGCTTGCATTTTTTATTATGTTACTTAAAATATATTATAAGATGACAATTCATCGAATGTTTAAAGAATTAAAGGACTTAATATTTGTAATTAGTTTTTACTAGTACAAAATTTGATTGCTTAATGCGTTAAAGTAATTCACATTTCAGTGTTATTAATATGCGATCTACCGCTTTTAGTTAATTATTTATTTTTTAAGATGGCGTCACTAATTACTAGTAATTTTAGATGACTATTTATTTTTTAAAACTATTTATTTATTATATTTATAAATTTTAAACTGTTTTTTAAATGCCACTAGATGCTGGGCGACTTTAAAGCAACTTTTAAGCAAAAGTTTCTACACAACATGCGGAGAACTCCACCGCAAATGCTTCTCCGTTATCTCGTGCAAGCATGGTAGAGATCTGTTAATGAAAGTGATGACTATTCTTTGCTCATATTTATAATATATGTGACAGAACGACAGTAAAATGGCCCTTCCAAAGGCCACATTTTAAGGGCCATTTTCTTGCTTTTGTTTTGTAAAACTGAAAAAAATTAAAATTTAATGGAATGAAAAATTTAATATGTTATGAAATTAACTAACAGAATCGTGTTATTCATGTATTCGTAATTATTTTCATTTACCTCATAGAGTGATTAGGTTTTTTTGAGGCAAGAGACATGAAAAGTGAGCAATGTCGTCGTTGGGACTCGAACCTGGACTTCTCGAATACGCGGCGAGTGTGCTAACCTTACACCACGAAGGCATACGGAAAGGAAGGAGTTAATACCTTATAACTTTCATATTAAAAATAGCATTTTAATTTCACCATGTAATAAATAAATAAAAGTGGTGAATGGCATACTACATCATTACCAACATTTCTACTTATTCATATAATGGTTTGCGCCAGTATTTGTAAGTTTTACTTCGGCAGATTTACTTCCTGTCTCTACATTTCTAAACGGATTAAAATTAAAAAGTTTATTTATTGCAATTTCCCTTATTTATTTCAATGCCGTAGAAGAGTTTAGAAATGTTAAAAGATGATCTCATAAGTATATTTTGAACAGTTTATCCTCTCTTTCTCCTATATAAAGCAGAAAAAAAATTACTTTAGAACACAAAAGGTATTACATTTTTGTCCTAACAAACAAAATTATTAATCTGCTTCTGTTTAAACTACGAATATCATAGGGTTTCAAACACATTTTTTAAAAATGAAAGTTGTTTAAAACATAGTTAAACAATTTTCATTAACGTTATGTATTTTAATGGCTCTGAAAAGTTTATTTATATATATATAACAATATTTAAAATGCATGAAAAACTTATTTTTGATAGGAAAACTGCTTTGGACAGTAAAAGACTCCTTTTACAGTATTTTTAAGGAAAATTAAAAATATATTTTATCAAAGCTGCAATCTGCCAGTGTTTCAAATGTCTGGTTTAGCGTAACTTTCCTGTTTCTTCTTATTAAAAGTATTAGAATAATTTTATTTCTCTAATAGCATATGGTGGCTTTGCCATTATTCGAAATATCAATTCGTTCAAATTTTCAAAGTTTGATCACTTGAGAAACATAAATAACTTCAATACTATTGTTTATATAAGAGTGAAACTGCAGTATGGAAGCTACTGATAAATCCGTAAGTATTCTTTTGCTAATCTTGTTGCCACTGATGGGAATTCAAATACAGTATATCCCAATTTAACTAAAGAATTATAAAATCTAAGATTGAATTAATAAGGCACTTTGTCAATCATTGCCAATTTCATTAGGGTGAATTTTGTTTCATTTTCTTGTCAATAAGTTTAATCAAAGAAAAGTGTCACAATACTCAACACTCCTTGTACCTATCGACTATTTTCTCTTTCCTATGGTTAGTTTTTAGTTTGAGTTTATTGAGATTACGTCAAAACATACTAGAGTTATTTCCCAAAGTGGAGGGACACCTTCGTAGAGGACTTTCTAAAGGAAGCTGGCTCGTATACACTTTACACACGGAGAAAATTCCGAAAACACCCATGCAGCTAGCCCATTAGCCTGGAATAGAAGTAGTGAGAAATGAGAGTTCTAGCACGGGAGTGCTATACTTTTAACATAGCAGCCCTCCGAAAAAATGGTTTTTGCATAGCAACCCCCTAAAAACCGGAATTTTTTTTCTATACTGTAGGCTGTAGTAGCCGATAAGAGGGAGTGTGTTGTGTTTCTTTATTTAATTGATAAGATGACGTCACACTTTGATAAGAGATTATCTTTTATTGATTTTCCGAAGGTTTTTGCTAATCAGTTTTTAGGCTTTGTATTTTTTCTTCATATTCCTACTATTTTACTACGTATATGATGATTATTTTCTAGGTTCCCTTAACGGCGCTTATTTTCGAATTTAATGATTGATTCAGGAGGCTTTAGATGAAAATTTTAAATTTGTCTGTATATTTTAAGCCTTATTATTTCCTATATACTAAGAATTTTAACTTTTTGCTTAAATTTTCTGTTCATAATACCACATTTACTTGCAGTAATCTTAACTACATTACTCATTTTACATAGAATTTTTTCATACCTTTTAACCAGTACTTATAACTCATTTGTTACATTTTACGAGCTTAATTATTCAGATCTGCATTTCTTTTTATTATATTATTCAACGTTAGATGTAAATTTTAACTTTTTTCGCGCTTTTTAACATTACTGATCTTCAACATATTCTGTATTTTAACTTAATTCTTATATTTTCTGATTATATACATGAACTTCACTTAAGTTAAGATGTAACATTTTCAGCTCGTTTTGTACATTTTAACCTTCATAATATTCAATGTACCCTAATTTTTAACTAATTTATATAGTTATTTTTAACTAATGTATGTACTTTTACACGATATGCATGACTTTTATTTGATTTCTTTAACAAGTTTTACCCTTCATAATTTTTAATATAGTCTTAATTTTAACATAATTCCTATATTTTCAGATCATATACCTGACTTTTATTTAATTTTAGAAGTAAATTTGAACTTCTTTGCATTTTTTTAAAGTTTATAGTTTCCAACATATTCTGAATTTTAACTAATTTGCTATATTTTCACACTATGTACATGACATTCATTTAATTTATAGCTACATTTATACATTATAACTTTCGTAATTTTAAACATACTTTTAATTTTAACTTAATTCATATATTTTCTGACCATATACATGAACTTTATATAGTTTTAGATAGTATTTTGAACTTGTTTCCTACATTTTAAACCCTCATATTTTTTAAAGTATTCTAATTTTAAACTTGTTTATTACATTTTCTTACCCTATACCTAACTTTTATTTAATTTTAGAAGTAAATTTTAATTTCTTTTCTATTTCTTAATGTTTTTTTAGTTTCCAACATACTCTGGATTTTAACTAATTTGCTATATTTTCACATTATGTGCATGACTTTCATTTAATTTTTAACTACTTTCATACGTTTTAACCTTCGTAAAAAGAGTTATGATAACTTATCAGCTCTTAAGAAGTGAGGTTATGAAGAAATGTTTTTAGGAGTTTTCCTTCATTTTCTAAATCTACCCTTTTAAATGAGAGAAAAATTCAGTGAAACTACTATGTTTTTCCTATGAAGGCATGCCCATTTCCCCTAACAGGTAAAAAACCGAAATATTTCACTTTTCCATATATTCAGCTTTAGAATTACTTTCATCGGGAAAAAATTATTTTACTTAAAAAATAGGATATCTTCTGCTAAAAGATCTTAATGCAGTCACCATCAGATCTATATTTGTCACTCAGTGGTTCAGTTTCAAACCAAATTTTTATATTTTTTGATCATGCATGCAACAATTTTCGCCTCTGAATTAAATTTTATACGACTGCAACAGATATTTCAGTCGCTATTATACTCGTATTGTGTAAAAGACTTCTAGGTTTGACTATTTTAATTTATATTATTGAAAAATGCATTAATTATTTTCAGAAAACTTTATAAAAACAGGAAAATTGTTTCCAATACCTCTTCTAGCAATACTAATAAATTGTGCTATAGAAAGAAGATTCAATTCCTATTATAACTCTAGTCTCTATTTGCAAAGGAAAAAGATACTATATAAATGGTAACATAGCATCATATCACCCATATATTTCTAAAAATTTACATCAATTTCAGCAAAGCGAATTATCTTCAGAGCTTTCAAATACAGATATATTTCTAAACGAAACTACCTAACATGCCGCTCTTTTACTTTTAATCAATTAAATAAACCCAAAACATTAAAAAAATATTTGAATTTTCAATAAAATTTAGCACATCTATACAGTCATTTAATTCATAAAATACCAAATATTGAGAATAATAAGAGTAAAACCATCACCATTTCAGAATTAAGAAGAGATTTTCAATAATGAGAGTGAAAATATACTGGTCTTCATGCAAGATTTTTTTATCGTTTGATACCAAACTTTTCACTATTTCGTAGATTCATAGAACATATCCCAATCTTTTTCGAACAATATATATCATTTCACATTAATTAGGGAGTGCCATGAGAGTTTAACTGCAGGTGTTTCCTGAATGATACTAAAATTTTCAAATATTTTTAATCGTTCATAAAAATTTATGAATAATAATAATATGTCATAAAAGCTTGAAAACTTTACGTGCTAAGATACAGCTTCAAAAATATAAATATATTTTCAAAATCTCAATTCCCATAGAAAATTTTAGCTATTCTTCTGTAAAGTTATATCACTTCAGTAGAACTTGAAGAACAACGAGACTTATCACATGATTTGATACATTTATGATATTTTTTCCCCAAAATAGAAGTTTATATTATATTACAACTATTATAACGAATCAATTACATTTTATATCATATTATGTAAAATTTGTTTAATTGTACAGAACTATTTTGAGTACCATATTCGAAGCTCAACATCCATAAATTTCACATAATTCTACAGATACACAGTGCAAACTAGAAGAAAAGCTGGAAAATCTATATTACATACAAAACATAAACTAGAGTTCTCAAGGACCTACTTAAAAAATACATCAAACTGTCCAAAAATTAATCACATTTTATATAATTGTATACATATTTCACATATTAAGACACACAATTCACGTTTTTAGAAATGCAGCACCATGTTTTCCACGCGAAGGTGGTAACTAAAGAACTGAACGATTCCACGCGAAAGGCTGTAACTAAAGAACTGTATATGACAGCGAGCAGCTATTTAAAACAGATGTAAGTTATGCAGAACTTTGTTTATATGCAACAAATGCAAAAAGGCGCAACGGCACTGTCATTCGATTCAATATAATTTAACCTTTTCTTTTATTTTCATTAAATGTCTGTGGTATGGAAGTGTTATTTACCTAAGGATAGCACCTTCAACTCCCCAACCACACACACACACACACATATATATGTAAAAGTAGAAAAATAACAGGAACAAGAGAGACCTATGTGGTCAAGAATTTTGCATTAAGCTGCAAAAGTTTAAAATATTTGTAAAGAGGAAAGTTCAAAAGCTATTGTTTAAAAGTACATTTGATACTGTAGTTCCTGAGTAAAATAGTTACACCATATAAAAACAACTGTACAATACTAAAGAAGTCAAAGTTATCGCGTAAACATTTAATGTAAAAATTACACAACGAGATAATTTCAAAATCAAAAAGGAATGAGAAAAAATAATAAATTTTAAATCAAAAATTTTTAAATTTCTTAAAAGATGCACGCAAATAATAAAAAACTTCTCGAAATAATAATCTTAAACTATAGTTATTACTAATAACTATACTTTAATAACTAATTAACTATATTTATTACTAACGCACTAATTATTTGCGTACATCTTATCTATATATAGAGTTAAACTTTATTTGTCTTATATAACGTGATAACGTGGTCATATTTACATTATGCTGCATTTGAATTTAAGTCCTGTTATGTTAGTTTAAATCCTACAAGTAATGGAAGTTTTGTATGTAGTACAAGTTGGGCTTATTCTGTTTGAGATTAAATAAAAAGGTAATTTTAATCTTCTGTAGTATTCTGTGAGTTTTTTATGACGCAGTGATAACTCACTATAAGTCTAGTAAGGTCTGCAGGACTTTACCTTCCAATTACAAGAGAAACCCTACTATTAATTGTTATATGAATAATTCAATCGAAGATCTGTATTATTGAATATTTAAATAAGCTATAACAAACTTTTGTTTACGTACAGCATTTAATTACTGGATGAAGAGTGAAAAGACTTTTCTTTTGAAATAGCATTAATCCAAATTACCTACGTAAAAGTTTGATAAAATGAATTCGATATGTAACGTCATACTACAAATTTGGTTACTTACCTAATGTAGAGAATTATTCCATTCATTCTGAAGAATTTCTAAACTATTTTTCTACATAGTGTTTAATGAAAGAATTTCTTGTAAGAAATCACAGTCAGAAATTTCGTGGCTCGTCAAAATAGCACTCGACAAAAGACCCTAAATCCTTTTTTGCGCAAAAAAATATATGACTTCTGTTAATTATATAACAATTATAATTTAGAATATAGGCCAGAGCATACCAAAAGTTTGTATGCCGCGGTAACCTGTATATGGAAATGGTTACAAAGGCTTTCAGTACTTGACAAGCTGCTGAAATATTTTTAATAAGCCAACATAATTAAACATGTGTACAACATCAGATTTATTTGAGTATATTTTTTATTATAATGCATACAAAACGTGCAAGATGCACGTTTTACTGATGGATATACATTACTGATGTTTTACTGATGGATATACATGTTGATATACTGATGGATATACATGTTACTGATGTTTTACTGATGGATATACATGTTGTGGCACGTTTTTATATCATCTGCATGTATTTAGATGTTAAAAATTTAAAAACTGTTCTCGAGATCCAGTTCAGAAGCCTTTGATTTAGGCCCTTTTGTCATAGGCTGTTTTACTCTGGACTATTTTATCGAGGTACCCAGAAGTTTCTTTTAAATACAATCAGAAAATTAAAGTTATCGTAAAATAGCCTCTCTATCCCACTTAATTTCAGAGTATCTTTGTCTTTCAAATTGTGCTATAATTCTTGGTGTCTTTAATTTATAGAGAATCATTAAATAATGTATTGCGCTATATATTAATTTATTGGATTATGCTATTAATTGATTTATGCTAGGTTGTAATTAAAACTACAAATTGAGACAATTTATTTTTCAATATTTTTTAATAAACTTTTACATCCTTTCTACTACTTCTGACTTAGTTATGCAGCTCGTACCCTCCAGATGGTTATGGAAATTTTTGAGACCAGTATAGGGTATAAGTAGGTTAACTGGATCCAGAGAGCTGTATGATGTCTTGGTCTGTCAGCTGAAGTTGCTTGCTGGCTGAAGAATGTCTTGCCGGAATATCAGATTCCGAAGTCCTGACCAAAACGGTAAACTGCAGTTGACAGCTTAGCACATTAAAATTAGAATAGTGGTTCCTCGTAGAGTAACGCTGAAGTTTGAATTTTAACATAGTCAACTGGCCTGTTATCTGTATTTTTATGTTACTTCGAAAGAAACATCACTTCCATTACGATAGCTCGTGTAAGGAAATCAGTGGCACCTAATAATTGCACCCCACAGAGCTACTTCAAGCGGTTACAATAACCCAAACATTCTCATATGTAACACAAGATGTCATAAAATATCCTAATGAGATTTCTTTTCCTTCAGTACTTGCTTCGGTCTTAAACTATGCTGTAAATATAATTCTCAAAAGTATTTATTTGTTAAGTTAATAATTCAAAAATATTACAGTACATCTTTATCAGTATATAAACAAGTATATAAACTAGATTCACTAGTATTAATGTAGGGAAATCTTTGTTATCCTATATTATTCTGAGTAAATTTTCATTCTAATGAATGAAAATTTGCGGTTTGTTATTACAGTATAATACCACCAGTTGATTTTTTTTCACTTGGTAAAAGCTAATTCTTTTTAATTGAATCAAGTGATTAATATCTAACACCATAACTATAATTACAAAATAATAATAAAGATTTGAAATTTAGCAATTGATGTACGTGAATATAATGCCAAGGATAAGAATTTAATAAAATGCAATTTTAAAATGTTTAAATAACTATTCAATATTAAATAGATAATGTGGAATAAATCTTTATTCTTAAGACATCTTCCAAACTCTCCAAATTATTAATAATGTTGTTCATAAATTTCTTAGAGCATAAAAAATAATTATAATACAGTTTTAAAGGAAATTAAAAGAAAAACAAAATGAAATACGAATTATTTCAATCTGACTTCTCTCCTCATCTAGCACAAAATTCTGCTGAAAAGAATAAAATATAGATTTGTAAAAAAAAAATACGGTTACTGAAAAATACGAGTATATCCATTGAGTATAATTAAATATTGTTATTATATATATTAAAATGTATGCTGAAACGTATATGCATTTATTCTGCTTATCATCTAATAATAAATTAGTTTCGTGTCTTTCTATTGACAAAATAATATAAAAAATACATTAGTCAAAAAAAGATATTCTTATAACTTATTCCGTGAACCACACCCGAGTACCATCACAACAACATACAACATGATAACAAAATAACACGATTCAATTAAAGACATTAAAGTAATATATATGAATTAAGAACCATAACAATCCTGTTAATGAATAAGCATTAACAGGAAACGCCTATATTTTGCTTTTTGTCATGTAGCTATCCATTCATAATCGCAAAATAAAAAGACAAATTACCAGTATAATCTAATTTCACCTATGAAAATTATCCAGTTCTTTGGATGTGCTCAGCGGAGAAAGTGCGAAATTTTCGTCTTGTAATTCGCTTTCAGATCATAACGCACTCATTAGGGAGAGATAAATTATTGTACTTCATTTGTACCAAAATACTTGGACTTTAAATTACTGTCACACTAACTTCGTAAAGCACATCAATATCCTCAGATTAACGAAGTCAAAACTATTAGTAATATGCAAGCAGAGATATGGCCGAAGAAGCTGAAAAACCTGAATTGAAGAAAAGCCCAATAATAGATAAAAAAAATTATATTATCAAACAAAAAACTACTTCCTCCAAGTTTGCAATATCTTTGTTACAAAATTCCTCAGTCTATCCTGTATCCAAAGCCAGCCATGTGCAGTCAAAATCGAGGAAAATATTTTGGTTTGCAGTTTTAATTTTTTGTACTATAGGTTGTTCTTATGATTGCTACAGATTTTTAAAAGTTTACCTACAGTATCCAGTTTTGATAAGCATTGATTTGCAAAGGAACACCAGTGCTAATTTTCCTGCAGTGACTGTTTGCAATATGAATCGAATGAAAACTTACTATAAGGACTGCGTTTTAGAAAACTGGAATTGGACACAGTGTATGCAAAGACCGTACGAGGTAAACAGAAATTCAACAATAATAGAGTCAGGTGGCAAAAAATACATATCCCGATTTGGTGTACCGAACGCAATCAAAGAAAATTACTTATACAAAGAAGACACGTTTATGGACTTTTATGCAAAAATAGATATGGATAGTCGGAAACGTTATGGATACATGCTGCAAGAATTGATCAAGAAATGTTCTTTCAATTCTGTTCTTTGTAATGAAACTGATTTCACCTTTTTTCAAAATATGCAATATGGAAATTGCTATACATTTAATAGAAAACAGGATGGCAAAGAACTGAAGAAGGTTTTTAGAATAGGGCCACAAACTGCTTTGGAATTAGAACTAAATGTAATGGTTGATTCTTATCTGGACGTTACTCAAACAGTAGGGGCACGAGTGGTGATTCATAATCCAGAGGAAGATCCCAATCCTGAAGAAGATGGGGTAAACATCAGTCCCGGATTTGAAAGCCATATTTCTTTGATTAAAACTTCAATAAAGAGGCTTCCTTCTCCATACAGAGACCGCTGTGTTAATTACACGGAAAAGGACAGCAATGGGTCTTCGAAAAATGATTTCGATTGCACTCGAAAATGCGTACTTGATTTGAGCTTGTCTATATGCGCCTGTGTTAATCCTTTCGTAAGGATTCCAGCTTTTGATAAGCGATGTGATTATAAGAACTCAACACAGATGTCTTGCTTAAATCATGTGTCTGATGCTATGCACAGAAAAGAACTTACTTGTGATTGTCCTGTGCCATGTGCAACAACTGCTTATTCTGTAGATGTTGGTTCTTCCCCTTGGACAAGAGATTCATCTATTCATTTCCAATCAAACGATTTGAAAAACGGCGAAAATTGGACTTTAGAGTTACATAATGTGAATCAAAACAAGACGAAGTTTAAGAGTGCACATTTTGTATCTCATGCGAAGGTAGAAGTTTTTTACCGAAGTTTGGATCACACAATTTACACCCAAACAGCTATGTTTTCTGAAAGCGAGCTTTATTCTCATCTCGGCGGTCATATGGGACTATGGCTAAGCATTTCTTTTATGGCACTTTTTGAATGCATAGAAAATATGATTTTGTTTTTAATATTTTTAATCAAGAATTAACACAGTAGAATATATTAAACATTGGGAAGAAAATATATAAAACTAAATGCAAAAATATATGAAATCAGCAAATTGTTTCTTGATATATATGTTTCCTTATTTATTTAAACTTACTTTCCAGTTTATTTAAAATTTAATGAGATTGTTAATAAGTACTATTATGAATTTTAATCCAGTGCTATAAGTGTCTAAATTTTGTTTAAGATTAGTTTTTAAAACTAGTTTGTGATCAAAATTTAATTGTAAGTATAAAAATATCTATTTCCATAATTTATTATTGGACATTTCTTAATATTTAGCAGTATGTTTTAGAATTTAATACTTAATACAATATTTTATATTTCCTTTTAATGGTTAAGAATTAGTAATCTTAGCGGCAAATGAATTTTATATTCGCTGTCAACAAATGTGTGGAAAAAGAAATTTCGTGCCTGAAATTATATAATTTTCTTGCCTTCCAAAATACACCAAACAAGTTGATATTATTGGAAAAGATACAAAATATTAGAGAAAACCATATGGTCACTTTTAATTTTCAAGTGTTTTAAATTTTGCTATGTGTATCTTATTTATCTTATTCTTCTAAAGTTCTGAATTAAATACTCTTTTCACATAAAAAATACTGGCAAAACTTTTATACTGATACTGCAAAATACAGACAAAAAGTTTATTCTTGAATATTAAAAATCTGTAAAGATTTATCATAAGGTAAGTACAAATATTCGTATAACTTTCGAATTTAATTCATCTTATGACAATTAAATAAATATAATTATCTAAAACGATAAAAAAAATTGAATTGAAATTATCATTTGGATCGCAAAGCAAAAATATTTGTTCTTGCATGGGAAGCTTAATTTTAAATTCAGTTTTGAATTTAAGGAAATATGTTACACCTATGAAACATATTACTTAGTAGTAGCATATCTGTGAAAATAACAATTAATTAGAATAGAAGAAAGTGGCTACGTTTATAGCATATTTATTTCACTTTGCTTGATAAAAAATATTGCCTGTCAATAATTTTTAATTATTTAAGTTTTAGTGAAGTAAATAATGAAAACTGGAATTGTCGTGGAATACAAAGAAAGGTTGGCTCCTAAACCAAGTGGGGAGAATTAGCGAGTTTTACGCAAAGTATAAATCAGAAAATATCAAAAATTAGATATACAAAAATTTAAATATATTATATAATTTTATATATCGTATATAAAATTATGTAATATATAATTTACACAAACACACACATACATATATATATATATATTATATAAAAATATTTAAAATAAATATAAAAGTAGACATTATATGGGCAGAACATCTATTACAAGATGTTGAAATTACTTTTATAAAATTTCCTACGTTATTTCCTGCCTTGGAAAATATTCTAACTGGAACTATATGTTTAGGAGCGCTATACGTGTACTTGTTAGAACTATGCAGAGCTTCTTAGAACACAAATAAGTATTTTGGGTAGCTTATTGCAAAGTGACTTATGCGTACATATATTTAACATATGAATCCCCATATCACCTTTACAGGCACACATGCATAAAAAATTCAGAAAGTCTGAGACTAATCATTGTTTAATCCCTTCTGTATCTTAAAAACACATGCGTACATGCATTAATGTGAGATTTATGCATATGTAAGATTTATTAAAGTAAGATTCACAGAATCCAAGATTTACCATTGTCTTAGGCAATGATATATCTTAGGTGTGACATGTATACTTATGCATACATGTGACGTGTTTTCTGATATATGTATACTTACTCATGCATGCAGCATAAATGCGCGATTCATGCATACATGTCTTATTATACAATTAAAAAATCTAAAAGTAACACTGTGAAGCTCATTTCATACCTAATAAGAATGAATTTTTTAACATACTAAAATGCTGGAAAGAAGTTTTATACCAAAGACGCTAACCATTTTAAATAATACGTATTTAATATTATAAAGCATTCAGCAAAGAAACCAAATTTATTTTCACAGTTGACTCCCGGTCAATTTGTTGTAGACAAACAAGTTGCGCACAAGCCAAGTGTAAGGAAAAAAAAATAGTTTTATTATTCGACATGTTATAAGAAATGTTGCTGGCATTATGTAAAAGAACATTATGTATTACAATGTATGGCATTATGTATTACAATCAATGTAAAAGAACACTGTCTATAGAAATTACGAAAAGAAAAGCACCTGGAATAACAGAAATGAGAACAGAGGAAGTCATAATGCATTTTGAAGTCTGTATCTGCAATACCGCTTAATTTTATGTAATCCTTAAAATATAAACGTTGCTAAATCCCTCATTAAAAGAGTGAAGGCTATTTGAATTACAGTAACCACATAAGAATTACTTGCTTAAGAGTAGGGATGCCGCTGTGGAGGACGTTTTTAGGAAATCTGGCTCGTATGGGAAAAAATTGCAAAAATTACCATGCAGCCACCCCTTTGCCCGGTTTTGAACTCATATCAAACTGCGCCGGTTTGACTCATATCAAACCGGTTTTGGCTCATATCAAACCGTTCAGCGATTTACAATTTCATCGCGGTTAGCCATGTATTAAAGGTAAGTTGCTCGTCGGAAAATAAATCTTGCGTGTAGAATTACTGCTCTTCCGTTTCACATTGATTCCTATTGAAATATGGGATAAATATTAAAGAAACATAGTTCGTTCTGTTGTGAAATACGTTATTTATGTGTTATCGTGGCTTTCCCATTATAATGTGAAAACAAAGCAGTTTCCCTTTAGGAAGTCTTCCATAAAATATTTTTCTCCTTAGTCTTTGCATGTTTAGCCATAATCCATATAACCTAAACATCTGCCGGAACAGTCATCTACAGTCACGTAAAAATTATGCTTGCTTATTTTTGCCTGATGCTCTGGAAAATAGATTGTACAGATGCAAGCACTTGCAAGTAAATAATGTTTTTAATAATAATTATTAAAAATATGTATTGTATTTAATATAAACTCACTCACACTTAGTACCGTTATGGAAAATTTTAGTACACATACCAATGAAGCAGAATAATAATGGAACAGAGCCTTGTTTCTACCAGCTAAGGTAGAGAAATGGAATCAAACGAGAGGACTAAAGTTTCAGTGATTTATTTCCTGTGTAATATAAGAAAGACGAGTTCCCTGAACAAATCCTACACAAAGGCATCTCATTTCATAGGCGTACATTCTCTGATTGCTTTCCCTTATTCAAATACACATATCTGGCCGCGAAAATCATTAATAAACATATGTGTTTAACATTTATATGCTCATTTAGTTCTATATGAAACAGTTAAAATTAGTTCCTGTTAACATTCCTCTTTAACTATATTTCTTTTACAAATTTACTGAAAATATGTGTAATATTTAAGGATTAATTAATAATTTATGTTACAAGCTGCAGTACATACAGAAATTAATCAAGATGATTCCAAATGGAACCTATTAATAATTCTCTTATATGCGATTATCGCTGCGTTTTACTCACCAACTCGGTGCCCAAAATGGTGAACCATTTCGGATATACAGTCATTTACTGTTATTTTCAGTCACGAATACGATTCCATTAGTCTACGTAAAAGAAATTAGTTACTTTCCTTCTTAACGTAATTGTAATTACCTACTGCAATTAGATTATGTAACTGCAATTGCATTGTAATTAGATTACACTACTTTGTTAATGCAATTACAGGGGAATTGCAATTACATAGTAATTGTAATTATATTTCACAGTTACTAGGTAAGTGTAATCAGATTATACAATTACTTTCTAATTACAATGTGATTGAAATTGCATTGTAATTGTAATTTTTCGCAATTAAAATGTAATCATGATTACATTGTAGTTGAAGTACATCGTAATTATTACTGAAAAGCAATTACATAGTAACTGAAATTACAAAGCAATTGTAATTGAAAAAGCAAATACTTTGTAATTGAAATTATAAGTGTATAATCTAATTATAATTTCAATGTAATTGCAATTACATGCTCCAGTTAAATTACTATTTAATTTTAACTGTAATTGCAATTACATTTTGCACAACTCTGTATATGTTAGCTAAGAAATTCTAGCTGAGATGTTTTAGATTTTCACACTGCAAAATTCTCGATATGCATTTGAATAAAGATATTTTTATACTTATACAAGTTCTGCAAAACATCTTATGCAGAACTAAAAAAAAAAAAAAAAAAAAAAAAAAAAAAAAAAAAAAACAATCTTCCGGAAATGGCATTTGACGCGGAACTTTTGAGCAAGAACCCTCTTATTGAAAATGAAAAGGCATGCGGACTCCATAAATAAGTTTATTATCTCTGATGACATTCTGTATTGAAGACAACATTTATTCAAAAGTTCCTCATTAGACGAACATAAAGAATTCCTGCATTAAAGTACTTTTATAATTACAAAGTATTAAAGTTTTCTGTATCATTCGTTTTGTTAAAATTGTTTTTTTTTTTTTTTTTTTTTTTTTTTTTTTCCCCAAAAACATTTTGAATAACATGTTTTTTCATAACAAGCAGGTTTTAAAAGAAATGATTAATGGGGTACATAAAAGAGAAATAAAGCCCTTTCGCTTACATTTAATATCTGGTTGTAACGAAAGCTTTCCGCAAAAAGCGTTCCTAATAAAGTTAACCTCCTTTCAGATCAACCTCCTTTCGGACGTCCTGTGAAGAATGGAAGATAACACCAGCAAGATGTAGCTACAAGTGTGAAAAAAAGGTAGAAGTCGAAGGAGCGATGTCGGGGCTATATGGTGGGTGTGACAAAAGATCCCATTCGAAATCATACAAAATCAAGCCGGTGAATGCAGACACAGGTGGTGTTGCATTAGCTTGATGGAACATTGCCTTTTTGCGTTGAGACTCAGTTCGACATTTTGCCTTGATAGCAGCGTCAACACGGACTAGCATCTTGCTGTACACCGTACTGTCAAGGGTTTTACCTTTTTTCAGACACTCTTTAGGGATAATACCACGGCAATCCCACCAGATACAAAACATGATGTTTTTGTTAGTCAAATTGCGTTTTGCGACGCTGCTGACAGGCTCACCGGGGCACACCAACCACCTTTTCGGCCTGTGCTGTTGAAGTAAAACCACTTTTTATAACAAGCGACGATCCGGTCCAGAATTTAGTTCCTTCGTTGATATTCCAACAGATTAGCAGATCTGTCCTTACCTGCTTGCGTCAGCTCATGCGGAACCTAACGATTGAACTTGTACGTCAAGTTTATGCGATGCATAGCGCGACTAATGGACATGGCACTAACGTCTAACTCCTTGGTTGCATACTGCTCTTTTTGCGCAAGTTCAAGCAGGCGGGCCTAATCACAATCTGTAGGCCGGCCACAGCGTTCTGCTTCTTGAATGTCATAGTCCTTGTTTTTGAACTTTCGGTCACAGTATCATATGATACAAAATTAGTATGTAAAGAGTGCACATGATTTGGTGACATTCTGTAGCTGATTTTTTGCAAAAGAACTGGAAGTAAATGATGGTTCTAACCTGGTAGTGTGATAGTTCCATTTCAGACGCCTTCTATTTAATGATAACGATATTTTTTTACAAATTTCACAGTAGAGTGTTCTAAAGCAAGTCTCTTTGTTTCTAATGCCAAAAATTGTTTGACAAAATATGTTCAAACACGCTAACGCAAACTGTTAGCGCAGACGATATTTGCGGTGGCGGCAAACTTTCGTTAAAACCCTTAGAAATGTATGAATCTTATGTACAGAGCACTTGTACATAATTAAGAAGTAGAAAAGTTTAATCGTTTGATAGAATTTTATTTTGTTGTCATTAAATTATGTGAGTATCAGGTATAGTTGGAAAAGGTTAATCGGTAGCTTTGGAATTTTAAAATCTTAGCAGTTTGATTCTAAAATTCTTCTTCGTGAATTTGAATGATCGTAAGTTTTATGCTCCTATAATTTTATACGAATTCGGGAATTTATCAAGCCATCTATTAAAAAAATAATTTCTAACCTTAGCTTTCTTTCCATATTGTAGGGCCCACCAGCGGCCGAGCGGTAAAGACGCTGAACACTGGTAGTTCGGTCTGAGGTTCGAATCCCGCGAACGGGCTGGCTGCATGGGCGTTTTCGTGGTTTTCCCCATGTGTAACGTGTATACGAGCCAGTTTCCCTTAGAAAGTCCTCCACAAAAGGCATCCCTCCCTTTAGGCAGATAGCCCTCGTGTGCTTTGCCATAATTAAATACACCACACCTTTCCATATTGTTTCGAATTTTCTACATATGTAAATAATTTTAGTGAAATTCTAATATTTTTTGTATAATGTAACATGAAATGCTTGAAAGAGAAGAAGCTCTGCCGGAATAATATGAAGATTACAGAGTCCAAGTCTAACATTGAGTAAATGGTTATCTCGATTAATTAGCGGATATCGTGAAGATGGCGATGATTTCGGCGACTAATTTTTAATCGCCAAATTTGACGAGGAATCGTTAAAAGTCACCAAATTTGGTAACCATTTGGCGACATTTTGGTCCAGTCCGTGTATAATTATAATTGCTACTGCAATTGAATAAATGTAAATTAATCCGTAAATGTAATTTAAAAACTGTATATGCCTTTCAGTAATTTCGAAAAATGGAAGGTACTAGAGATTTCTCGGTGGCCGGGAGAAAACCATATAAGACTGGAAAGAGCATCAGTCTCTCAGTTGTTTAGTTCAGAGTGAGTCGGAGTATTGAGTGATCTCCATAGGAGTTCTGCCTTTTTAGGTGCACTTTTCACTGAGCTATGTTTAACGTTCTCAGTAGTTTGAAGTATAACAACGGACCTCTATGATACCCAGGAAAGCTGTAAGAGTATTTTTTGTGGAACGTTCCAGAACTATTAAATGTTTCTTTTGGTAAAAATAAAAATTTTTCAAGCTATAATCTGTTCTGTGTGCATTCAATCTATTACGAACTCGCATGCACACAATAATATTTCATTTGTTTTGTCTCTTATCACAGAATACTCGAATAATGGCAATGTAACATAAATTTAAAAAATTAACCTTGCGATTGCACCATCACTATGAAATTCTCATTTTAATTGTTGTCTTTCTTAGAAATTGGACGCGTACTATTTTTGTTAGTTTCTTCTCTTTTTATAGTAAATTATGAAAAGAACAGGAAAATGTAATTACTGTCTGAAAACGTCCAGGATTTTTAAATCGTTCTATCATGTCTATTTTCGTCTTTCATGTCAAAAATAATATTTTTCCTCGTTTTATAACCTCTTTTCATAATTGCATAACTCGCAATCAAATTCAGCGACATCTTTAATATACCTGTTTCTGGCTCATTCTTATTTGAGTTATGTTTCTAATATTACTTTGAATATAAAAATCTATTATGAAAATTCCCTAATCTTTCTTAAACACAGGATGCTATTAAAAAATCACCTGATTTCAAATTTTTATAATTTTTAAAAATAAGCAATACGGAATAAAAAGTAATACATGATTGTAAAAAAAATCTAAGGTTTATGTAGAAATGTTAGATTTGACCTACTTTAGTCACGCGTATAATGCCAAGGTGATGTAAGAATTCCTGTCGATGAGAATTGTAATTCGTTATTTGTAACTGTTTCCAAGCAAGACAAACTATTTTTTTTTTTTTTTTTTTTTTTAAAGTTCGTCTTACTGGGCACAAACGCTTGATCTTTAGCAACCTTTTAAAGGAATATACGGCAGGAATTATATCTGGAGATATGAGATATCGGATGTTCAAGATTAAATCATTTGGCGCTCTTTGTCCAACTGACATTTGACTCATATTGTGCAAATATGCTCATGTGTGCAAGACTTCTGCTGTTTAATCACCATTTCCGCTTTTTGTTACAAAGAATTTTTAAATGACAAACTATCCCCATTTTTTAAGTATTATACTATTTTACCTTTGCATTCATATAATAGTTAAAATTCTGTTTTGTTAACTTTTGAAACTATAAAAATTTGAAATTTATAAATATCATTATAAAATAATGAACTGTAAAATTACAAATTATAAAATTACTATAAAATTACAAACGGAAGCAATAAAACAGAAATTATAAAATTACAAATTACAAATTTGTAATTTATAATATTATTCATTCTGAATTATTCTGCACGGGAATGTCTTCGACGCAGATAACGTCGGTTAGCCAAATTATAAGGGCTAGTGGATTGCAAATATCCGGAAACACTTCATAGGCGATTCAAGGAACCTGATTATATGATTCACGTAAAAATGGCTCAATCATTACCGCTCTCAAAGCTTCACAAACGAATGAGATTGCAATGGGGTCGTAACCACGTGGCATAAGGTGAAAAACGGATTTCTGTAATTATCAGTGATGAAGAAAAGGGAATCTAGATGGTCCTGACGTGTATTCATATTACTGGTATGACTAGAAAAGAGCTTCGGATCTATTTCAGTAGGAACAGTGGAGGTGGATCCATTATGGTGGTAGGCAGCTTTCGGTTTCAACGGGCAAGTGGGTTTTATCTTTTTAGATTGTCGGAAAGATTCGTCTAAATACACAGAAGCACTAAGATAGCATGCCATTTGCTGAAAACATTAGAGGACAAAATTGGGGGTACCGGCATGACAATGCTACCACTCATACATCTATTGCTACAAAAAATTACTTAGACATGGTAAATGTCATTGTTCTTGAGTGGCCACCAATGAGCCCCGATTTTAACTAGATCGAGAATGTGTGGGGTGTTATATCTTGGAGAGTTTACGAGAACGGAAGGCAGTTTGCGTTCGTTAATACCTTAAAAGCACCCATCGAGAGTGCATGGTATAATGTGGAATCAGAGTTAATACCACAAAACTTAGTTCTCTCGATACAGAAACATGTATTCGACGTCATAGGGAATAACGGGGCGGCTTTGAAGCACTCAGTAATTTGAAATTGATCACAAGTTGTTAAAATGTTAATATTCTATGAATTTTCGGGGCAAATATTCTTCTTTTTTAATTTTTTAAAATACAGATTGCTGTTTTAGTTTAATATTTAATGAAGTGCAAGTCGCATATGATGTAAATAAACAGATTTTTATTTGGTGTTTGTATTCCGTTCCATTTTTATAAAACCCATAATATAATTGAGTCTATAAATAAGTGTATTTAATATAAGTGTATTTCTTTCCTAGCTTTATTGTAAAGAATAGCAGCAACACGTAGGTAAAGTAAAAATGTCACTGAGTTATGTTTTTATTTTACATATTAATTTGGGCATTTATTCATGAAATTTAGATACCTTATATATATCTTTTATACGCTCATCGTTAGCTCATTTTTATTGCCTAAAAGCATAAAAAAATTGCAAAACTATTCTCGCGTAACATCATGTAAAATTTATGTGTATGACTTTCGTTTTTGTTACTTCGCTACACTATAACTATGTAACCACGCCCTGACCACCACAACAACTCAAAATGACAGCATTACTAAAGAGCAATTATAACTTTGAGTCCATTAAATTGTAGAGACACGGGATTGCTGTTTCTCACGCAGCTATGCATTTCAACGAATTCGCAGTTCTTTTCACCGTCGCAGTTTTGCGACTGACAGACCTTACTTTCCTGAAACCGTTCATAGATTGAGCGGTACTGCAGTTTCGAGTGCTAAAAATATCTATTTAGTTATACAATGAAAAGAGTGCGGAATGGTATTATTTCTATCAACAGCTGTTAATACGAACACGCTTTCATTCGAACAGGTCAGAAAACTCTCTTTTCCAAACATTTGCTAAAGTAAACTTTATCCAGTGTGAAAGGAATATGATTGCTTAGTGTAATTCAGATTCTTGAGTTCCTTCTGGAGTATGGAAAGCCCAAATTTAGTAATTATGGATACAGAATTGAAAAGCAAAAGCCATGGGAGTAGAAAAAATATTAAAATTGGTTCAGAGGATAATATTTCAAATCAACATCTCACATTTTTAAAATTCATATCAACTTTGCTGATGAATTCCTCCATTTTACCAGTTTCCCGAATAACTCACCGCCAATCAAAACCCAGGAAAATGTTTTGGATGGTGACTTTGATTGTCTGCATCTTCAGTTGCTGCTATGAAGCTTACAAATTCTTTAATGTATATCTACAGTACCCAGTGATAATTAGCGTCGATGTACAAAATAACACAAGTATCGATTTTCCGGCTGTAACAATTTGTAATTTGAATCGAATGAAAAGTTACCATAAGGATTGCGTATTGGAAAATCGTACCTGGAAAGAATGCAGACAGATTGCATCCGTAACACGTACATATTTCACATTGGTATTATCAGAAAGAGTAAAATACATGCTCAATGTTCCAAATGAAAAAGAGAAAAGTTACATAAATCAAGCAAAAACTTTCATGAATCATTATACAAACACTGATGCCGACAGTCGAAGATGTTATGGTTATATGCTTAACGAACTCATTCAGAAGTGTTCTTTCAATTCTGTTCCGTGTAAAGAAAGTGATTTCACGTTCTTCCAAAGTATGCAGTACGGCAATTGCTACACTTTTAACAAAGCGAGCAGAAGCAATACTCCATTGCGAAATGTCTCTAAAGTAGGATCAAATAATGGCCTAGAATTAGAATTAGACTTGAATGTTTATTCATATCTAGATCTTACGCAGTCAGTAGGAGCACGAGTTGTGATTCATAGTCCAGACGAAGATCCCAATCCCGAAGATGATGGAATAAACATCAGTCCCGGATTTGAAACCCATATATCTATGATTAAGACTTCAGTGCAGAGACTTCCTGCTCCGTACAGAGACAAGTGCTTCAATTATAAAAAAGACAATAGCGTCAAAATGAGAGTAAGAAGTCAGTTAGATTGCGTACGGCAATGCATACAGAACTTGAGTGCACTACTGTGTTCTTGCGTCGATCCATTCTTGCCTGCATCTGTTACTTCCACACGATGTGATCTGAAGAATGCAACGCAAATGTTATGTTTGGATGATGTCTTATCTGCCATTTCAAATCATCAATTTTCTTGCGATTGTCCCTTGCCATGTATTACGACAACCTACTCTTTAGAAACATATTCATCTCTCTTGTTACCAGATGCTTATTCGTCATTTCTCCCTCAGTTTGCGGCAGATAAGCAGCAAAAATGTATTTATGATGAAATTTTGTTTTTAAATGAATCGCTGATGGTTGATGAAATTTATCTGACAAATTTCACTAATCGCAGCTGGATTTGGCAGGATAACAATACGGACTTTTACACCAGCTTTAATGTTCCCGATTTTTCGTCTTATAATTGGACAAAATCTGATGGCAGCAATGTATCAAGTATGGATTTTGATAACTGGACAATACCCGTTGTTAATTCTGATGAGAGATATTATATAAATACATCAGATACGAAGCAGACTTCTGAAACTTTTGAAGACACTCGCACCAAATCTAGAGTAAAGCTGCAAGTCTTTTATAGAAGTTTGGATCACACTGTGACAACTCAAGCAGCTATGTTTGCCGAAAGCGAGATTTTTGCTCACCTTGGGGGGCATCTCGGATTGTGGTTAGGAATTTCTCTTCTAGCACTTTTCGAATGTGCAGAAAATTTGTTTTTAATTTTGATGTTTTTCGCAAAAAGACGAAAGAATAATGAGTGTTATGCAGGGCAAGAAATTTGTGTAAAGTGAATTAAATAGTAACTTTAAAATGACAGTTTTCCTTCAATAACTAGGATTCATTCGAGATTGTTAACTTCATTCCTATGTACTATAAGTCCTTGATGCATTTTTTAAAGCAAGAAGTTCTTAAAAATTAATATTATAAAATAAGAAATGAAAAATTTGTACTTGGTTAGAGCCCTTTTGTGTTTCAGATTTATCTATTAGCAAAGTATCATGAATCTCAGTTTCTTCGTGAGTTTTGTATTCAAAGTATAACAGTAATGTGGTAATGTGGATTTCAATTTTGCTATCGGATATGTTATCTAAACTTAAGATTTTACTTCTGTATATTATATTTTGAACAGAGTTCTGTATAGACTAGAAGAGAAACACGCTAATGTGACAATCAAAATCGTAAAAACAACCTTGTATTTAGCGTAAGTATATTGAAACACTCAATCGATTTCGAGGGCAGCTAAAGGTCCCTCCTCATCAGAAGAAAGAAATACCTAGAAAGAAGAAAAATAAAGGGGAAGGAGTCTCAGAAACACGTGGTCCTTATCAGCACTGCCCGTGGTTATAACCGGATTTTAAATCAGAGTTAAACTGGCCGCCTACTTTTATTGAACCAGGCTATCTGATCAAACATGTAACACAAAGGACAAGAAAAATTAGCGAAGTTAAAAATATTGAGCGAGGGGCAAATGCACCTTCACGCTCAAAATCTGAACTTCGAATAATTCGAATTTTTTCGCTCTCTATTTTTAACTTCGCTAATTTTTCTTCGAAGTTCAGATTTTGAGCGTGAAGGTGCAGTTGCCCCTCGCTCCCTATTTTTAACTTCGCTAATTTTTCTTGTCCTTTGTGTTACATGTTTGATCAGATAGCCTGGTTCAATAAAAGTAGGCGGCCAGTTTAACTCTGATTTAAAATCCGGTTATAACCACGGGCAGTGCTGATAAGGACCACGTGTTTCTGAGACTCCTTCCCCTTTATTTTTCTTCTTTTTAGGTATTTCTTTCTCCTGATGAGGAGGGACCTTTAGCTGCCCTCGAAATCGATTGAGTGTTTCAATATACTACGCTAAATACAAGGTTTTGAGAGTTCTGTATATTACATTCACAGCTTGTGGGCTTCTTCGCGTAGTTCCTGCAATTTCTACGCTTGAAATAATCTGTTGTTTTTAAGTTTCTTTACTTACGTATAGAAAAGATCTACTATGTTTAGTTCCAGTTAAATTTATTTGAAACATGTTCTTGCACAAGTTTACTTCATATTTTCACTCGATAGCATTTATGTTCTAATAGATCATGCGCTCTATTTTATGAAATGCACATCATTCATATTTTACTAGGAGTTATTTTTGAATTCTTTATTATAAAATGCAATTTTTTGAGATTAATTCAAGTAATGATTTCAAGTGCTAATCTTTTTCCAAAATTTTAAAATCGTTTCTTTACTAGTATTTTATATTTTATATAGTCATAATTCGAATGTAATTTGTCTTATAAAATAGCAGTTAAAATGGTGTTAAATTAACTAAAAATTTCAGAGTTAAATTATATTATTTGATATGATAACTTATTTTCCGTGTCTTTTTAATGCTGATTTTAATCTAAAATGCCCACAAAAACTGCAAGAATATTTTACGTAAACGAAAAATTAAATTCACAGTCTAAAGCATATTAGTGTTATCATATGCCTTCCACGTTACGTCAGAATCTGCATTTTTTATGTTTTACGTATATCTGTTTCTATGTTTTATATAATATATATTGAAAGAAGAAATGCGTATTTCACAAAATGAATGCATCAGTAATAGTTTGTAGAAATCATAATTAAATATTTCTAAAAGTTTCACACAATCCAAATATTGAAATATATTCTTAACGAAGCAAAAACATTGTAGATTCGCGAACTGATGCAATATTTAGTCCTAAAAGTTGAAGTGTCAGGAAAGCCTTGTGAAAGCTTTGTAAAAATTATATAGTAATATTAAGAAATGTATGTACATTTACAAATTCTTCAAGTGTAATTTTATAGAGTGGATTATACTATTAAAGTTTACTCAGAGCAGTTCTAACTAACCGATTCTAATAGAAAACAATTATTAAATTTTTTCTAATGAGAGCTACATATTTATTCATCTAAGCTACATATTTATCATCACTTTCTAAAGTTTATCATCAAAATTAAATAACAAACTTTGTTTCTTTCAAAACAGAGGAGAGCTTCAGCAATACAAATAAACTATAACCACAAAATATGCGAGGATTTGTTTTGAAGGCCATATTTGTATCACTGAAAAGCTAGACAAATCCTACATTTTACGAATCTCTCAAATTATTTAACAATAAGAATAAAATTTGAAAGTGCATGAAATTAAAAACTTTTTGTGAATGTTTAATTCGAAACACATTTTCGAATTCTGGTTCTAATAATACATCTGTGTTTACTAATACTATACAAGTGAAGCTGGAAGTAAAACACATGATTAAAACTTTTGAATCTCAAGTTATTTTCTCAGTATAATTTAAAAAAAAAATTATTTGAATAACAATGAAAATATTTTTAAATTTTCCATAGTTTTTAAAATCAAAGCAAATTGAAAGGCGAGTCAGTTATTTTATGAGACAAACCTGGAATTCTAATTTTTCTTCAGGAAATAAAATTATCAAAAATGTATTTAAGAGTTTATTAAACACAGTAGGCATCGATGGTCATCAGAGAAGGTACTGGTAAACCAAGTAAATATAAAACTTGCATTAACTCCCTGCTTTCTATTTTTGAAGGCTTCAAGTAGAATTAAATAAATTTTTAAAAAAACTAAAAATCTGAAAGCTTTTCAGATTTTACATTACCACCAAAGGGGCGTTTTTTTTAATGTTTTGTGTGTTACCTTTATTTATTAAATATCATTTTCTTCGCACTTAAATCATAAAATTCAATTCAACTGCAATATCGCAAAATAATTTTTAAATGAGCATATCTTTAGAATTTCCGATACACAGTCTCACGGTCTGGATATAAAAATAGTTTTTTTTCATACAGTGTTGCCATTGCTCGCTTTGAAATCGTTGAGTTTGTTAATCAAAAATTCACTAAGTGTTTCAAAATATGAAATCGATAATAAAACAAATTCGAAATTCTAAATTAGGGCATCCACAGGCCCATATTCGGTGGAGGTTTACGTTATTCAAAATTTGATAGCTTTAGGTACCGTCGATTTATCACATTACGAGAAAAATACATACATTTATGAAGATGCTTCATTATTTAATTTCTTTAACTATTATAACACAAGGCGTGGCAATAATTTGAAAAGTGAAACAAGCATTTAAAGTTTTCAATGCAAAATGCCAAAACGAATTTAATAGCCTTTCTGGGCTAAAGCCTTTGGGCTAATAATTACTCGAATGTTCTGAGTTTAGAGACCTAATGGATTTACGTTAAGATTCATTCAAAAGACTAAAAAGGCGCGAAGTTTCAAAATTTCAAATCTCGAAGATTTTTCAAAATTCATATAATTCATGAATTCGAACGTTCCATTATTTTACTATAATAAAAAGAAAAAGACTTAGTTTTTTTTATTTCTCTTATTTCATATCAACAAATATTATGCAATTAAAAAGAAGTATAGTATTTTTGTTATTTAAAACAAAATTCCAGACATTTATTTATCAACAAACTTATAGAATACAAGCATTTTTATTTGCTTGTATTCTTAGTTCTTACCTTTTCAAACTAATGTTTGCAAAAAATTAAAATATTACTTAATTATTACCTAGTTTTATTTAATTACTAATTAAAATTATATTGCTATAATTACTTAAAATTTGCAAAATGCATAAGCAATAAATTTAAATTCTATGTTAGCTAAAAAATTATTTAAAGAATAATGTGTAAATGTCAGGTAATTACTTTTCTATTAATTTTTGTAGGATTGTTGTTTAACGATCATCGCAGGCTAATGTACAAATCATCTGGTTTCCTTTAAATAATTAAACACCTTAAATTAAATTAAATGTTAAAAACCTAAATTAAACACCTTCTTAAATTATATAGTGAACTGTATTAATTTTTTTTCAATTCAAGACAACAAAATAAATTAACATAGACGGTCGTTCCGGATTACTGGTGTTTCGAATAATTTGTGTTCGAATAGCTGCAGTTATAATGCAATTGAAGTTTTTTGTTTGTTTGTTTTTTGTTGTTGTTACTTTATTCTGTAGTTGTCGTATCAAAGTTTTTAATTTATATAAATTTTTAATTGCATTTTATATTAAGTATTAAAATTTGTATCAGAAAATTACGAGAGAGTTAAAAAAATAATGTCACTGTATTATTTATCTATTATTTATAAATTTAACAGTTTTCCTTGCATTCAAAGACAAGAACAAAACCCAACGCTATTACAAGAGAAAAAAGAGGTTTATTCATAGAGAAAGCAAGCATCAGCATGCCTGCCCGGTGATTATATAACGTAGGACTCAATCTGAAACTGAGGTGAAATCAAATTACAAGGACAGGTAATTGGATGAAACATTTTTAACAGAGACAGTAGGCATCACCAAGTTACGTAAACAGCTGCTCGCATGTTCAGCCCTGTGAAAATGATAATCTGAGAAATGACGATAAAAATAGCAGGAAAACACAGAGCTCATCCTTCTATAAGTATTAAATATTAGCATTCAATTTATTTTCTCTTGTTGTTTTCACATATTTACTGAATAGAATTTGACAAAGAATCCCATTCACTTCCCCTTTTTTATTCACCTTCTTTATTCAGCTTCTTTTTATGTATAATCTCCCATACGCGCAGTAACAAATAGGCGTTACAAATGCAGTTAATCTAGGTATGTACTGCAAAAGTAGTTCCATGATGTAAGACTTCCATATTATAAAAGAAAACAGTTTATTTCTAAAACGTGAATCATTTAAAGCATACTATATGTCTCAATACTGCTTGTCAAAATTACCGGATACTAAGAGAAATAAAATTAAATGGTTATATATCGAAACATAATTTGTATAAAAACATTACTTAACATAAGCTATCACGTTTGCCAGTTAATTGTTTTGAAAATATTGAATTTTATGTAGAATTTATGGAACTTTATAAATCACCTCCGCTATCTTGCTACAAATCTTTCTTTTATTAGGTGTATAGGCACCTCTGCTTGATATGTAAATTTCACAGCATGGTTTTATAGAAATTATTATTTTACTGACCTAGACCTTGCACAAAACTGAATGCCGCTTTTCTGAAAATGCACTTTTCAGATCCTGAAGAATCCACAGGGACATTGAGCACGCTTTAATTCTACGGCAAGAGACATCCCACTCAGTCGAGCTGAGGGCTGGGGAGTAAGCTGGTCAATCCATTCGAGTGATGTCTGTTTCCAAATTTTTTATAGCATATTTGCTAGATACAGACGAGCATTGTGATTCCTTAGAAAAACCTCTGGATCAACAACACCTCCACGATGATGACTTACGATGAGTTCCATAATCCGCAGTTACAGAATCTCTATAAAAGTTATACAGTTCCATGAGGGATTTTTGATAATTCGACCCCAAACTAAGAAACTTTTTCCGTGGGAATGGATTCTGGAACAAAGGATTGCTAGTTGCATGCTCCTTGCTCCCTCCAGATCAAACTACGACTAGACGCGCATTCAGGCAATATCTAAAGTAGTCAGAGAACATTACGTGTTATCATTCCTCTCCACTCAATCACTGAACATGATGACAATACCATCTTAAACTAATTAATTTGGAAGACGAAGTAAATTGGGCATAAATCATGGTTTTCTCGGATAATGTCTAACATTAAGACTCCTTCGTGCAACAGCAGAACATCTGAACATCTGATTGATCAAGTTCTTTTAGCAATTGAAATTTCTAAAATCACTTTCCTTGTCATTTCTTTCCCATTTCATTGAGCCGACAATGATAGAAAAACGGTCCCCGGATGTAGTTTTGCCCTTAATCAGGCTACCTACCAGCTGATTCGCAGCTTAAAAAGCGATTTCATGAGCTTAGTATGACACCTTAATGAATATTCAAATCTTACTTGACAACCATCTGTATCTCCCCTCTTAAGCCTTACAATTAACTGCCATATTTGCTCTTTATTCAAGTGATGCGACTGAGTCGTAAAAATGATCATTTCCAGAAGTCGTAATAACTTTAAGCAATACAACTCACACGAATTCCAACATGGCGTCCATTAGGCAACACGTTGTCAGTGGACTAATTTGCACAGATCGTGCATTCGTCTATACTCAGAAGTCCAGGTTTGTGGTTAGTTGCAGATAATTAGCAGAAATTGTGAGCTATGAGCATAATTTTTACGCTATCCTTTAATTCTAATGAGCTGTGTTTATTTCACAACAAGTTTTATGTTTAATACTTCGCTTAATTTTCAGTTGGATGTAAAAAATAGGCAATTTTTAGCCACATTTGTAAAGGCAAAAAGTTATAATTTATTGCAGTTTAGTTCTATGTATGGTAGTGGAAATCTGCCTCCAGTGATGCCCATATGTTGCCAACAGTTGGCCAGAGCCAGCCTGCTGAGCGCATTGTAGATAATCGAATATAAAAGCGGATAAAAATTATTAATAAGAGATAGTTCTAAAATATATATCATTTCGTTAAAACTTTCTAGGGCAGGTAATTATGACGAATAAGCAGGTTGTTCATGAATAAATGGCTATCATTTGAAATATTTATGAAAAAGTTCTTTAAGACACGAATATTATTTCAACGGTTCTGAAAATGCTCAAAATTTTGAGAATATTAATATGGAATATTATGTGCGTCGGATCCATAATATCTGTTGGACTGTTATTAGGATGTTCTTGTCTACATAAAAAGTGAAACTTTATTCTAATGACCAAATTCGCTAGCAATATATAGGTTAGATCTATTAACATTTCCTTGTTTTTACTAATACTGGTTTCTATTTTATGCATTCACTTAGTTTTAATATTGAAGGATTTATTTGAATGAAATCCCAAGAGATAACTACTAAAATTGATAACTAACACATTTAAATTCACTTTCACAAATGTATCCCTCCTTACAAAAATAAAAGTGTTTTGAAATTTTAGCTTCAATTTATGCAATGATATTTACCATTGCAGACAGGTTGAAGAAGCAGATGGAGGAAAAAGTGTATATATTTTGTCATCGTTAGCTCAAAAAGCTTAAAAAAATTATACAAATTTATTCTCATAATACATCACGTATACCATTTATGACCTAAGGCTTTTACTTTTGTAATTTCCCTACACTATTTATATGTAACCACGCCCTGATTATGAGAACAGCCCAAAATGATAACACTGCATAAGGACAATTACGACTCCATTAACGCGTAGAGATAATTGACTGTTGTTATCACGTAGTTATGTATTTCAATAAATTAAGAGTTCTCTTGGTCATCGCAGTTTTGCGATTGGCAGACCTTACTTTCCTTAACTCGTTCATCGACTGAGCAGTACCATAGTTTGGTGTACTAAAAATATTTATTTCGTTACATAACGGAAGAAGTTTATAAAGTAATGTTTTCATCTGCAGCTGTTAATTCTAGCAGAGCAGAAAACACTCTCTTCTAGCCATTTGCTAAAATAAATTTTACCAGTGCGAAAAGAATATCATTTGCTTATTGTAAATTAGATTCCTAAGTTTCTTCCGAATTATGGCAAGCACAAATTTAGTAAATATGGACAAAGGACTGATTAAAAAAAGCAATGAGAATAGAGAAAATTGTAAAATTGATTCAGAAAATAATATTCCGAATGCACACCCCACATTTTTCGAGTTCATGTCAACTTTGCTGATGAATTCCTCCATCTTACCAGTTTCCCGAATGACTCACGTCCAATCAAAATCGAGGAAAACATTTTGGATTTTGATTTTGATTGTCTGCATCTTCAGTTGCGGCTATGAAGCCTATAAGTTCTTTAATATATATCTACAGTATCCAGTGATAATTAGCGTCGATGTGCAAAATAACACGAGTATCGAATTTCCTGCAGTGACAATTTGTAATCTGAATCGTATGAAACGTTACGATGAGAAATGTATTTTGGGAGGTTTTACCTGGCAAGAATGTAGACAGTTTCCCCCACGTTTCTCTTCAACGGTATTATCAGAAAGGGTAAAATACACACTTGACGTATTAGAAGAACTTTACGCAACCCAAGCAAAAAATTTTATGAATCATTATACAAATACTGATGCCGAGAGTCGAAGATGCTATGGTTATATGCTTGACGAACTCATTCAGAAGTGCTCTTTCAATTCCCTTCCGTGTAACGAAAGTGACTTCACGTTCTTCCAAAGTATGCAGTACGGCAATTGCTATACTTTTAACAAAGCGAGCAGAAGCAATATCGCATTGCGAAATCTCTCTAAAGTAGGATCAGATAATGGCCTAGAATTAGAATTAGATGTGAATGTTTATTCATATCTAGATTTTACGCAGTCAGTAGGAGCACGAGTTGTGATTCACAGTCCAGACGAAGATCCCAATCCTGAGGATAATGGAATAAACATCAGTCCCGGATTTGAAACCCATATATCTATGATTAAGACTTCAGTGCAGAGACTTCCTGCTCCGTACAGAGACAAGTGCTTCAATTATAAAAAAGACAATAGTGTCAAAATGAAAGAGAGAAGTCAGTTGGTTTGCATACGGCAATGCGTGCAGAACTTGAGTGCATTACTATGTTCCTGCGTCGATCCATTCTTACCAGCGTCTGCTATTTTCACGCGATGTGACCTTAAGAATGCAACGCAAATGTTATGTTTGGATGATGTCTTATCTGCCATTACGAATCGTCAGTTTTCTTGCGATTGTCCATTGCCCTGTATTTCGATAACTTACTCTTTAGAAACATATTCATCTCCCTTATTTCCAGATTCGTATTCATCCTTTACTCCTCTATTTACACCAAATTTATCGAAAGAATGTTATTATGATCCATTTTTACTTAATAATATATTGCCAGAGGATCATAACCGTAGTTACCCGATAGATTATAATAATAGCAGTGGTGATAACAACACAAGCTTTGATAGCATCTCCAACGTTCCAAGTAATATATCTAATAACTGGACAAATCCTGCTAATAATTACTATGGTGAGCAGCATTATCCAAATGCATCAGATGTAAAGCACACTTTCGAAAGGCTTGAAGACAGCCGCACCAAATCCAAAATAAAACTGCAAGTCTTCTACAGAAGTTTGTATCACACGGTGTATTCTCAAACAGCTATGTTTGCCGAAAGTGAGATTTTTGCTCATCTTGGGGGTCATCTAGGTTTATGGTTAGGAATTTCCCTTGTGGCTCTTTTCGAATGTGCAGAAAATCTATTCCTGATGTTTATGTTTTTTTGCAAAAAGTTTAAAGAGGAATGAAAGTTATGCAGGGCAAGAAATTCGTGCAAAATGAATCAAAGTAGTAGCTATACGGTAACAGTTCTTCATTATCTTAATAATTAAGATTAATTTGAGATAATTAAATACTTTTTCTACATGCTATAAGCACTTGATTAATTTTATAAAGCCTGAAGTTTTTACAATGAGTATTATTAAATAAGAAATCAAATCAAATTCGACCTTGAGTAAAGCTTTTCTTATTAGGTTTCTCTTTAAAATATAACAGTAAATTATGATACTTTAATTTTTTTGCCGGATATATTATCGAAAAAATTAATACTTTATTTCTATATGTATCAGTTTGAATATTAAACAGACTGCTGGCTTTTATATAGTTCTCTCAATTTTTTTCTCTTCAAATAATATGTTGCTTTCAAGCTTCTTTGCTTATGTACAAAAAAGTTCTATTTTTCGTTCTATGCATAACAAATTCTATTTTTTGGTCTAGTTAAAAGGGGTTAAATATACTTTTTTCACAGTTTAAATATCTTTTCTTTGCTATTAATTGTTATTTCATGTAGAAGTGGCTCGAATATAATTTGCCTTATAAAACAGCAATTGATAGGGGAGCTAAATGAATGCTAAAGCTTTAAAGTTAAATTATTACATATGAATAAACGTATATTCATTCCCTGCTTTTTAGTGCTGATTTAAATCTAAAATACTCTCAAACATTAAAGAGATATTTCACTTATAGACAACGAAATTTGCAGCCTGAAGCACAGCACTGTTTTTGCATGTTTTCATCTCTATGTCCAAGTCTGCATTGCTTTCATATTTCACGTACTGTTTCCAATGGTTTTTTTAGAGTTGTATATACGGAATTAAAAGAAAGAGATTCATATTTAATGAGATTAATGTATGAAATATTTCTAAAGGTTTAAGGCAATCGAAATATAGAAATGTGCTTTCTACGAAGCAGAAATTGTGCGTATTCCTGAATTTGGCGAAGATATGTTGAAATATTTTCTCGTAAAAGTTGGAATTGTCAGAAAAGACTTGTAGGTACTTATATCAAAAGCGTATTTTTATATTGAGAAATGTATAAATACATGCTTTTTCCTTCAGCTCTGTATATTTTTATGAAGTGGTTTACTCGTTTAAAAGACTAAGCGTCTCCAGTTTTACAGATTCTGAAGAAAGGATTTAATTAAAATTGGCTCTCTAAGGCAAGGTACATATCCATTTATGCAAAGACAGCAGAAGACATGCAGTCTAAAATATATCATCAAAAGGAAATAATAAGCTATTACTCTAATTTCGTTTCAACAAAATAGCACTTCAGCAATCCAAATTAAGTGAAACCACATCCCATGCTAATAGATATTTGATCTGAAATACGCTTATTGCTAGAATTTGGAGAAATCTAACTTTTCTCAAATTCAAATCCGAAAAAGATGTCGATTATCTCTAATTTTTTCAGTGTAACAATCAAAATAAAACTGAAAGTGCGTAGTATTAAAGGATATTAATTAAAGCAAAATTTTAATTTTGCGTTTGATGAAAAACAAATTTAAGAATATTATTTTTAATAACACATCTATATTTATCAAAAAAGAAACAAAGTTAATTAATTATTAAGAAAGTGATATACTATATAGAATTAATATCAGCTGAGAGTAGTAAATTATTAACAGGACGGTGCAAAATAATAATAATTGAAGCAGAAACCTAGAAAAAACTGAAATAAAGTAAATTAATGTATAAAAAAGTTATAATTATAAATATTAAAAATAATTAATAAATAATAAATAATAGTTGTTAATTCCTTAGTCTTTGTCACGAAGGAACAGAATAAATTATCAACGGAGCTACATCTCTAAATTGGATTTGGATGTATTGCAAAAGAAAATCTTCAAAGAAACTTTTTAAATTTTAAATATAAAATAATTAAATAAAAATATACTAATACAACATGTTAAGTATTTTAAAAACGTAAGAAATTTTAAAAGGCAGTCATCAAGATATAAGCAGCTCCGACACACTCGTATGAAAATATATACATATTATATATTAAAAAGAAAGACAATAAATCCAAATAAATTTTGAAACAATTGAAGAAAATATTTTTAATTTAATTTTTTTAAATTGTTAACTTGGAATGCCATAGAAATAGAATGTGCAAACTATTTAGAATGAGGCAATTAGATAAGTCATTCGACGCAAAATACCGTTAGATATTATAACGCCTTTGCATTGCTACGCTACCAAAATAATACCGTACGAAATGTAAAGAAACCTCACGTATAAAATATCGTGCTTGAAGAGGCACGAGATGTTAATGTTAATGAAACGCTTTGAAATCATTGAGTCTGTTAATCAAAAATTCGTTAAAGTTTTTTACAAAGTGTGAAATTAATAATAAAACAAATTCCAAATTTGGGCTTCCGGATGCTCGTATTCGAGTGGAGGACTATGTTATTCAAAATTTGATCGCTGTTTTTTCACAGTGCGAGAAACATACATATATCCATTCAGATTCTTCATTATTTAATTTCTTTAAATATAATGACTCTAATATTTGGTGGCAACAATTTAGAAAGTGATTCAAACTTTTATAGTGAACCAGCGCAAAATGCGAAAGCGCTGTCCAGATTTACAAGGGAAAAAACAAGCAACAAGAACAACAACAACAACAAAAGGAAACAAAATATGATGCCAAAAACCAGTAAAAAAGAAACGTTATAAAAATCAAAGTAATATGTGAAAAATAAAGTTTAAATAATGCAATGTTAAAATAATGCAAATAATGCTGATGTTTCAAAATAAAATTTCAGAACAAGAGCAAGCAGTTAAAAGTTAAAAAAATAATTGTTCTGGTACAACGTCCTGTGATTTTACCAATAGAATAAAAGTACGGTGATTTTTTTTTAAGAAACAGGCAAAAACATTTTTTATCTTTATATATTTATAGGCCCATCAGCGGCCGAGCGATAAAGTCACTGAACACTGGTAGTTCGGTCCGAAGTTTGAATCCCGCGGTTTCCCCATGTGTAACGTGTATACGAGCCAGTTCCCCTTAGAAAGTCCTCCGCGAAGGCATCCCTCCTCTTAGGCAGATAGCCCTCGAGGCTTAGCCGTAATTAAAATAACCTAACCTTTATATACTTATAAATAATATGCAAACGAAGTTTACAATTTCGTTTATAAAGTAAAGCATATAATTTTAAGGTAAAGCATATTATTAGCACTCTTGAATCTTGTGATCATTTTGCCAATATAATATAAAAACATTATCTGAATAACAGCTAAAATTTTCCAGGTTCTTTTGAAATCAGAGCAGGTTTAGAGAGAGACAGATTATTTTAAGAAATTACCCAAATAAACTAAAATTACATAAATAAACACGAAAAAAATTACATAGATAAATGCGAAACTGTATTGAGAAAATGGAAATATTTCAAACTTATTTAACAGTTTATGTCATTCAGAGTCATTAGATATAATACTAGTAAATCAAGTACTTCTAAAACTGCAACATTCCCGTGCTTTTCTTTTTACTGACGCTTCAAGTGGACTTCAGTAAAACTAATCTTTCCGAAGTATTGAGTTTTGATTTTACGGACGGATTGAAAGGGCATAACAGAATGAACAGGATTTATTCAAATGACTAAAAAACAAAAGATCTGAATCTTCTAATCTCGAATCTTTTCCAAGATTCGTGGGATTCAAGAATTGTAATGTCTTATTCCTTGTTTTTACTGTACTGAAAGTAAAAAGAATTTTTATTTATTCATTTATTTATCTTATTTTACTTTAAGAAATATTATACAATTAAAAGTAGTACAATATTTATTCGCTCAAAACAATGCTCCAAACACTCATATTTCATCACAGTTATACAATGCAGCTATTTTTATTTGTTGCATACACAATTTTTATCTTTGACTATTAATTTTTTAAGCAATAATTTTAGTATATTTACAATACTAAAATTATTGCTTAAAAAATTAAATGAAACTTAAATTAATTGATTAAAATTTTTTAAATATTTATAAAAAATTATTTCTAGTTACGTACTCTCTAAAATTATTCAAAGAATAATAAGCATGTAAATATTGTGTAATTGCTTTTCGTTATTGTTGTTAAGTTTGTTATTTAGCCATCACAGAAGGCCGATCTAAGAATGTCCGAGTTCATTTAAATTAATTATATACCTTCTTAAAATACGTAGTAAGCTATACGGTATTTTATGGAATTTAACTCAGAGAAAAAAATAATAACTCATAAATAATATTAAATTAAATTTGAATTTATTGTACTTGTAAAACACAATGATTCGATCTGGATAACAGTTGTTTCGGATAAGTGATGTTCAGATAAATGGAGTTTAACTGCAACTTAAGTTTTTATTTTTTGTTAAATTTACTCTGCAATTTGCCATCACAAAACTTTTAATTTTATTAAATTTTGTAATTGTATTTTTATATTCATTATTAAAAATTGCTTCACAAAGTAGCGAAAGGAGTTAGAAAAGTAACATCACTCTTTTATTATTTACTTGACGCTTAACGTTATAAATTAAAGAGTTTTCCTCGGATTAAAAGACAAAAGCAAATCCAGCTTCAGAGAAATAAGGCATTGATAGTGCAAGTACCATCATGCCCGGTGATTATGTAAAGTATCAGAATCTGCAACTCAGAGGTGAAATGCTATCATAAGGATAGGTGATTGGATAACACTTTACTGACAGAAACAGCAGGCCGTTACTAAACGGTTGCTCACATGTATACGGTACACCGTTATGTAAACCTATGCTCACATCTCCAGCTCTGTTAAAAAGATAATGTGAGAAATGCTAAGGAGATTGCAGATAACCTCAGGGCATCATCTTTATCTAAGAGTTTTTCCCTCCAATATTTACTGAACTGAATGTCAAAAAATTTCCCCTCCACTACTTTTTTTATTCTCTTTTATGTATTGTTGTTTCTATTTCGCAGAATATCAATCAGATCGGTCGATATAAATAAAACTGTTATCAGTACATTCTTCAAAAAATGAATGATATTGGAAGAAAAGTTTTGCTTTGAATATCAAAAAGTCCACATAGCTTATCGCTATAGGAAAGAGAATCATTTAAAATATAATATACATCTCATTTAAACTGTTAATCAAATTTAAAGGAAATTTAATTGTTATTTATTGAAAAATAATTAAATGCTATATCGTATTCAATAATAATTATTACGAAATATTTAATCATTAATATATTCAATATTAAACATTAATATATATATATAAATGATAA